CAATAATGAATGGAGTGATATTTGACCATTGAATTGCTCACTGGGGGTGTCGGCACATTGAACCTCAAACTTGACTGGATGTGACTGACGGGTCAGTGTGTGATATGGGAAGGCAGTTTTGGAACATAATACAACTTTGTAATCTTGTTGAGGAAACTTGTTACATATGCACTATGAACTACTGCTATTTTCATCGTATCAACCCATCATTTTCAAGGTTTAACTAAATTGAAGTTTCTATTAAGATGTGCAAGTAAAGGGGAAAGTTACAAAATTTGAAAATTTAAAATATATTTCAGAGTCTGAAAAATTACAAATTCTAAGAGATTAATGTTAGTGTTGTAAATAGTTCTTATAAAATTTAGGTTAAAATTTTAAGTGTGGAGGATTTGACATTTTAACAGAGAAACTCTTACTGTAACAAATGTGGAAAGAATTCTTTCTAACCTGAACAGTACATTCTATAATTTTTCTTAGTTGACAATTTGATCTTGTATGTCAGTTAGTGTGATATTCTATAATGGATAATTGAAATGGATTTGCAAATAGTACAAATAAATTACCTCTTTGTTTGTTAATGCCTCTATGAACATGTGCATTTTCACATGCATTTGGAATAAAATATAACCAAGGTAAAAAGGTGAATTTTGGTTTAATGGTAAAGAGCCCCTGGAACCATACTGCCTGTTTTTGATTCTGAAGTTTTCAAGCTGTGGAGTCTTGTAAAAATTATTGTTTCTCTGTGTTCTCATTTTTATTGTGAATTCAATGGTCATAATAATGGTATCTAACTCACTGTATTGTTCTATTTTGCTTGTGTTATATTGTTAGAGTTATGTAAGAATTGCAAGTATTGAGTCTGTCCATTGTTAATGTTACAAGTGATGAATGTATCTTTCTCAAAAGTAAGGTCTCTTCCTTCAGGGGATCACATATTTTACTGGATTGTATATCATGAGGAATGGAAACTGCTGCTATATACATGTTGGAAGTAAATCAGTGCTAGTTAAGTATGTGAATCACTCATTTATCCACCCATTTATCTTTTGTAGGATAAGTTTACACCATATATAAAAGGTGGTGTAGTTCCATAAAGCACAGGACAATCCTCTAGGAAAACATGTCAGGAAAATTTTGCATATGAGGACAGATATTCTCCATTCTCAAAGGCTGGTGACAGAGATCAGGAGAAGGAGACTAAGAAAGAAAACCTACTGAACTTTAGCCACCTTGTTCCTCTAGGTAGGTTATGAAAATAATTTTTCTTTTATTGTGTGTGTTTAAATTAAAATAGTTGTGTAACCAAAGAACAGTTAACACAGGGGTCTAGATTCCCATTAGTAATGTACTAACTTCACCAAAGGAGAGAAAATTCTCCTTGTGAGAGAAACTGCTGCCCATTCAGTGACTGAGAAGACCACTTTTTGACCACAGTGTTTTCCTTCAGTGTGTAGAGGATCATGAGATACGAGATCATGTTGTGTTGCTGAGTTTCCAGATTGTGATGGGAGATACATTTGGCTCTCCACATATCATCTGATGGTGGGAAAGTTAACATTCATGAGGATGCATTATCTGTATGTATTAGTTTCCTTTCATTGTTATAACAAAAAATAACAAAGTTACCTTTAAAATAATACATGTATTAACACATGCTTTCTGTACCTCAAAAGTCTGGCATCGTTCAACTGGATTCACTGCTTTACTTGGGTTTCACAAGACTGGAAGTTTTATGTATCTGAACCCATTGGAAGCCTCTGGAAAGGATGTGCTTACAAGATTTTCAAGTTATTGACAATATCTAGCTCCTTGTGGTTGCAAGATAAATGAGTTCATTTCCTCCCTGGCTGTCAGTTGCTGGATACCCTTTACTCCCAGGAGTCTCTATCCCATACTTAGATTGATCCCTTCATTCCATAGTCAGAAAATGTACATGAAATCCTTTTTCACTTGGACTCTCTCTGACTTCCCCTTCTGTTGCTACTCTCTTGCCTCCTCTTCTACTATATTTCTCCAATATCATCAACTAGACATAGTTCTTTCCTTTTAAGGGGTCATAAAGACTAGATTGGCTTCACAAAGGTAACCCAGATCCATAATCTTGATTATGTTTGCAAAATCCTTTTGACACTTACTATACATACGTTCTAGGCATTAGGATACGGACATCTTTGGAGAGCCATTATGTCATCACACTGTTTTAATAGAAACTCTGCGAATTTTTTGGTTTCCTCTAATCAAGTCATTAGCAACTAGAAATGACTCTGAAGAATAACTTCCTCAGAGAGTGAGAATGTTTATTCAGTAAAGGAAGAAAACTGAACTTTTGGCTCAGAATTATTCACTTTGACCACTGTTTTAGTCAGCTTTTTTCCACTGTGAGCAAAATACCTGAAAAGAAAAATTTCAGAAAAGAAGAAGTTTATTTGGGGCTCACAGTTTCAAAGCTCTCAGTCCATAGATGGCCAACTTCATTGTTCTGGGCCCAAGATGAGGTACAATATCAAGGGAGAAGGGTTTGGTGGAGAAAAGTAGCTCAGGACATGAAAATAGAGTTCCACTCACCAGGAACAAATTATAAACCCCAAAGACATGCCCCCAGTATCCCGTCTCCTCCAGCCACACCCTACATATCTAGTTGCCACCCAGGCAATCCTGATTGTGGAATTAAGGCACTGATTAGGATAAAAATCTCATAACCCAATCATTTCACCTTTCAACTTTCTTACTTTGTCTAACACATAACTTAGAGATCAAAACAAAACAAAAAAACATTTTACTTTAAATTCTTCTTGATATTTTAGAGGAAACCGGTATATATGTAATGGTCTGTGCTGAGCATTCATAGAATAATGCACCTTAAGTAAATGTCTGCTTTTACCCCACTGCAGCGATTTAAACACATATACTCTCTTATCATTTTTTTTCTCTGGAGCCAAATCATATTCAATTTTTAGGCATATGTGAACTTTGGGGAATATTTTTTTTTCAGTATAGCATCAGAAAACTCAACCTATAATGTGCTGGAAAGTGCAGAAAAAGTATAGTAAGCAAATCTTAGATGCTTTCTGAGACTAATGGTGAAAGAAAATAGAAGCCCATATACTGAGGAGAATGAAGCTCTGCAGCAGAGCACTGAAAGAGCATTTCTAGGAACTTAGGTGGTGGTGTTAAATGGACATTCATGTTTGTTCTTGACTTTCCTATAATAAATGGAAAACAGAAAAGAGTCCAATGAAAAATAGTCTTCAAGTACTATTGTTTACTTATTAATAGATGTTCAAAAATTTTTTTTCCCTGATGCTACTGGGCCACATGTAGAAAACACTGGCTCAATTAATTTTTAAATATACTCTCTTGTTTTTTACTGGATTCAGAAGCCTTCCAAAGACTTTAAGGGCCTGAAGTTTAGAATACATTTTTGCTGTTAATAATGCTCTACATCAGAGAAAAAGATACTGAAAAATATTTCTGCTGAAAAAGAGCACGATATGAAGTATTTTATATATTTGAGATTAATGAAGTTATATCAATCACATATTTCTATTTTATAGCAGGTTAGTCCTATTAATAATTAAGTATTTTTTGGCTTTAAACTTGATCAGAGAGAATTAGTCTGACAGAGAATCAGAGGGAGGCAGACAACAGTGTTATGCAAATTAGTCAATATGAGAAGAGATTAAACAGTACTTATATAAAATTATGCACTAGAGCTGAATTAATTCAAAGGACTATTTCAATGTAAATGAGTACAGGTGATCTTTTCTTTGATCAATTCTGGATAAGATTGTCCTAAAAGTTCATGTTTTACTGAGAAACAAACAACTTTGCTTCATGTTAGTTATATAATACCAGTGATAATGGGAGTAACAGAAGAGAAATATTGTGGCAAAATAGTCTTCCATAAATAATAAATAGATACCATTATATTATCATTGATCCTTTTGGTGTGTCTTTTCCAAAATAGGCATACATTCAATGGAATGAATATACATGTATTTTCCACAGTGTGAATATATAGCAGGTTATTTGACTAATATCTTTTATGGTCATTTCTCTGTTACCAATATTTTTGCAAGTCAAAATAATACCAAATTAATAACACTACGCTGATTTATTTTTTCTATATTATTGTAAATTTACCTTCATGATATATTTTTATGTGGTAAGGTCAAAGGGTTTATGTGAAATTCAACACCAAATGTTTTGTAATATTTTGTAGTTTTGCTAGTGTTAAGATTAAACAGCAAACATTAAAATGAGATGCACAAGTAATTCACATAATGGAATTAAAGGAGTAAAGTCTAAAACAGTTATCCTTAAAATTTTATAAAATAATAAAAAAATAATCTCAAGAACAAAAGTGATAAAATAAAGGAAGTTAAGACAATATGGACAAGATACAAAAAAATAACTTGGTGGTAAAAAATCATTAGAAATAAAAACCCTGTTGGTTCAACTGCAGATTAGAAATATTTGAAAAAAGTCATGAGTAAACTAACTGGAGGATGATCTTGAAAAAATTCATGCCAAAATAACTCATAGAGGTAAAGCAAAGAAATGTAAAACAGACTTGAAAAGACTCAGAGAATAAAATAACAAGATTGAACATGCATTTAAGTTGACTTTGAGAGGAAGGAGTAGGTAAAAATGAAAAGGCTGATATTTAAAGATAATGGCTAAGAAGGAGTCAAGAACTGGTGAAAAGAATGAGTTACAGGTAGATAAATAATAATAGAACTATCTTGACATTCACTGAATACTGAAGACAGGAAAGACTCTTGATGGCATCCAGGGGAAAGTTTACCAACAAAGGCATAATTAATAGATTTCTCAAAAGTCACAATAAGAGTCCTGTAATGGTTGCTTCCTGGAAAGTGATGTCATGTGCACTCTCTTAGCCTCAGCATCCAGAGCTCCAAAAAGGGAATATTTCAAGTCAGATAGATTTTTATATATATCATTTTGTTGGAACCTTTAGCCTTCATGATTCCAACATTATGACCTTAGTGTCAACACAATTGCTCTTCATCATCATTTCACTGCTTTTGGTTCTGCCAGTTGTTGAAGCAGTAGAAGCCAAAGATGCAATCTTGTTTGGTGTGGTTCTAAGCATTACAGGCATTTGTGCTTGCGTTGGTGTGTATGCACAAAACCAGAATGGACAGATCTAACTTTCAAACTTCACCCTGAAAACTTTTCTGTTATTGAGGTTAAACCTGTGTTTTATTCTGTAATTTTCCCAATGAACAGTAATGGTTTCATATTCTAAGTTGTTTCCCATGAAATGGGAACAAATAGATGTTCATTAAATGGGAAAAAATGTTTCTTTATAACAAATAGTGCAGTGAAAACTGCAGTCTATAAATTGTATTTGCTGCTTAGAAAAAGGGTGAAAGATGTGGGCTAGCATAAATTTATAGGAGTACTACTTGATAGTTTCAAAATTCTCAAAGCATGTGAAATAGGAGGAGAAATCTCTTGTCCAGAATCTAGCAAATCTCCACTGTTGAGAGTGATCATACTGCCTCCTGAATCCTTAAGGAGTCTTTTTCTCCATGTCTTTATTATGTTTGTTTTATCTCCCAAGTTAATATTGTACTTGAATATCAAATAGCCAAAATTGAAATGGTTATTTCTAGGGAATAAAATGTTTGGAAAAAATGTATTTAATGTATCTAATATTGAAATGGAGAAAATTAATGTTAAAAAAATTAAATTGACATTGGAAGAGATTCAATGTATGCAAAACAAACTTTGTATTGAGTAATATCCTCATGTTGAGAAGTCCTATATTAATATAAACTCATCTGATTTTTTAAGTCACAATAAAAAAGAAAGTAAAAAATAACTAATCCTTTCACCTTAAATTCAGCTAAAATAAGATGTAAATAATAAATTTATAGGAAACAGAAACTTAGAGTTTACTACATAATTAGTTTACTAAGGGTTTTTGTTGTTGATTATACTTCATGATAAAAGAAATAGGACCTACAAGGTAGGACTGAAATTTGAGGAATAGTAGGGAAAATTTGGCAAATAACTATTGGTCACTCAGGAAACATTGACTTTATATAAAACAACAACAACAACAACAAAACGTGTTTGAAATATCAAGAAACAAAAATTTCTCAATACTTTATTAGGGAGAAGCAATCAGAATGATGTTTAAAGTTCTGATGATGTTTTGTTCATAAAGAATGCAAAGATAAACTTCGGACTTTTTGAATCAAGTACACAGGTAAAAATATTGTATAACAAAATAGTGGAAACAGAAATTTTGAATCAAAGGCAAAGAAAATGAAGATTATAATAACTAGACTAATCCAATTGAAGACAGGAAAGATGGAGGAGAGGCAAAGGCAAAGCAAGATAAATAGAAAGTGTAAAGATGTGAGTCACTGATTTAAAAGGAATTAATACAGTATTTTATGAAAACATTATTAAGTATATGTTCACACCGCAAAATGTTTGGCATTGTAAATGGTAACTTTTTAAAGATTTTTAAAAGACATTTATTTTTTATAAACATGCATTAATTACAAATTAATGGGTTTCATGTTGACATTTTCATACACATTTATCATGAGCTGATCATGTCCACCTTCCTTTCTGCCCCTCTTCTTCCCCTCCCCAACCCCTTCCGAGTCCTTAATAGTCCCTTTTGTACTTGGATAAGAGTAAATGTGCAATACTTGTCTTTCTGTTTCTGGCTTATTTCACTTAACATGATTTTTATATTATCATTTAAGATGTCATCTAGCATAAAGATACACAATCTCAAAGTGGACTGATAAAAACAGAGTGGACTATATATTTTGCCTGTTAATTTAGGTATATGCAGGTAGTATAAAAGGAAGTATGAGTATAGAAGAAACAGATAACTATTTTTAAGATTTCTAGAGAGGAAAGTTGAAGAGGTTATTTCCTTTTGGAATGACAAATTGCCTAAATTTGACGGGTAGTGAAGAAAGAAGTAATCATAATGTGACCTCATGAGATTCTCAGTGATTTTTTTTTTCCTCTTTAAACAGTCCCTTCAGAATACACGTTTTCCAGGAAGGATGTGTGATTACTCTCCACTATTTTGAAGCTTGACCCTCCTGCAACACTGCTTATTACATTGATTCAGTCCATAGTGTTTTCTGATGTGAACGATGCAATTTGCTTACTTAGAGTTTCAAATAGATGATATGAGACAGAACAGATGCACGTTGTATTTATTTCAAACAACCTTCATAGACGTTAACCCTCAGGAGTTCTTTCTTATATTCTACTTCCATAAGCAAAACCAAAAACAGATCTCAAAAATCTAAATGCAAAGAAAACATGATGTACATTATTGAGAAATCAGAACATTTGGAATTCACTATCTGAGAAGTTTCTGAATGATTTTTTTCTATATTAGACAGCAAAAACAATACAGAAAAGTAAAGGAATAACTTTCTATAAAGGGTGGTGCTCAAAATAGAAACAAATTAACTTGCTGTGTTCATTCCCATTTCCATCTATTTTGCATGCAGCAGATATTTGAAGACTCCTGCTCATTTCTTAAAGTCTCTTCTTTCATTGTTTTATCTTGCAGCATTCATAAATTTAAATGCAAAGGGTTCATTTCACTTAAAGAAAGATGTCATGCTTAATTTGAATTTCTTATTAAATATGCCAATCTGTCTACTAAATGAATACATTTTTAAAGTAAAACCATGGATCATTTTGTAGTAAGTTCCATCTATTTAATAATTAGTAAAGTAATGAAAGAAAAATGGCAGGGGCTGGGATTGTGGCTCAGTGGTACAGCGCAAGCCTAACACATGCAAGGCCCTGGGTTTTATCCTCAGCACCACATAAAATTAAATAAATAAATAAAGAGATATTGTGTCCAACTACAACTAAAAATAAATATTAAAAAAGAAGAATGGCAGAAATAAAGTTAATAAATAAAGTTTAATCACTCACTTAAATACTATGGGAAATGCATGTCCTTGACCTTAGTGAACTTTAGAAACTTGGTGATGTAGAGATTAAAGTATTTTGTGATCGAATAATCTGTTTATGATGAGTTCATGAATCATTGTGCTTTGGCTATGTGTAGATATTGGAAAGGTTATGTTTCCAAGCTTGTTTTTAAACTTTTAATATTTAATATGCATGTTTACTTTGAATGCTAAAAAAACAAAGAGATAAAAAACTAACACCAGGGCAGAAAGAATGGCTGGCATAATTAATTTTGTGCCTTCATTTGCCATGAAGATATATAGATACCAGAAAAAATACCACGTGCAAATTACATTTGATTATCACCTTAAAAGAGTATGGTCACTACCTGTTAGAATTGAAGAATATATGTTTTAATTAGTTATGGAATTATACACTTTTCTAAAGAGCTTAATGCAGAACTGTAGGCCAGTGTATCAGGACTAGAGAGATGCTGAGAGTAGAAGACATGTTTAATATAGCATGTGATATTACTTAACAGACATCAAGAAAGATTAAACTGAGAATAAGCTGTAATTTTTGTTTGTTTGTTGCTTTTAGATACATGACAGTAGGATATATTTTGATATATTCTATATACATGGAGTGCAACCTAATCGGATTTTCATCCCATTCTTGTGGTTGAACAAAATGTGGAGTTACAATGGTCATGTATCCATATGTGAGAACAGAAAAGTTGTGTCTGGTTGTCTTTTTCTTTCTTATTCCCATTCCTCCTCTCTTCCCTTTGTCTAATACAATGAACTTCTATACTTCACCTCCCTATCCTCCCTTGTTATAGGTTAGAATCCACATATTAGAGAGAACATTGGCCTTTGGTTTGGGAGACTGGCTTATTTCACTTAGCATGATATTATCCAGCTCCATGCATCTACTGAGAAATGCCATAATTTCATTCTTCTTTATGGCTGAGTAATATCCCATTGTGCATATGTACCATATTTTCTTTATCCAATCATCTGTTGAAGGACATTTAGGTTAGTTTCATAGCTTGGCTACTGTGAATTGAGCTGCTATAAACATTGATGTATCTGCGTCACTGTAGTATGCTGATTTTAATTCTTTTGGGTTTAAACTGAGGAGTAGGATAACTGCATCAAATGGTGGCTCCACTCCAACTTTTCTGAGGTATCTCCATACTGCTTTCCAGTGCTTGCACCAATTTGAGATAATTGCCATTCTACCTGGAGTGAGATGGAATGTCAGTATGATTTTAATTTGGTTTTCTCTAATTGCTAGAGATGTTGAACAATTTTTTATATTTTTTGACCATTTCTTTTGTAAAGTGCCTGTTCAGTTTTTTTGCCCATTTATTGACTGGATTATTTGGAGTTTTTGTTTTTGTTTTGGGTGTTAAGATTTTTTATTTTTTTTACATATCCTGCAGATTAATGCTCTGAGGTGCATATGGTAAAGATTTTATCCCATTCTGTAGGTTCTCTGTTCATGTTTTTGATTATTTGTTTGCTATGAAAAAACTTTTTGTTCTATGCCATCCCATTTATTGATTCTTGATTTTACTTTTTGTGCTTTATGAATCTTACTGAAGAAGTCTATTCTTGAGCTGACATGATGGAGAGTTGGGCCTATTTTTAATTCCAGTAGGCACAGAGTCTCTCATCTAATGCCTAGGTCCTTGATCTGCTTTGAATTTTGTGCAGGGTGAGATATATGGGTTCAATTTCAGTATACTACAAATGTATTTCCCATTTTCCAGCACCATTTCTTAAGAGGTTATCTTTTCTCCAATGTATGTTAATGGCACCTTCGTCTAGTATGAGATAACTGTATTTTTGTGGGTTTGTCTCTGTGTCTTCAATTCTGTTCCATTGGTCTTCAATTCTATTTGTGCTAACACCATGTCATTTTTGTTACTATAGCTCTATAGAATAATTTAATTGTTAATATTGGTATTGTGATGCCTTCTACTTTACTTTTCTTGCTAAGGATTGCTTTGGCTATTCTGGGTCTCTTATTTTTCCAAATGAATTTCATGACTTCTTTTTCTATTTCTATGAAGAATGCCATTGGAATTTCAATGGGAATTGCAATAAATCTGTATAGTGTTCTTAGTAGCATGGCTATTTTGACAATAATAAGTCTGCCTATCTAAGAACATGGGAGATCTTTTCATTTCCTGAGGTCTTCTGCAATTTCTTTCTTTAGTGTTCTGTAG